CACGTGCATAATAAGAGATAATTCACAGGGGTATTTTTTGTAATAGCCTTGAAATACTAAAAAACAATGTTAATTTTGACGTAAAGTTGATCGTTTAGCATTCATTTTAATATGATACAGCAATTATTAAAATTATTTGAGTTATTTATCTGATTGCTAATACTTTTCCGTTATGGGAAGTTTTTGTTTTACGATAATCGGACATTAAACTCTAAAGTTACATAACTTTTAGTATGGACGCAACGAAAAAGTCAACCAAAATACAAAAATGGCTGCCATTCAGAGGCCGTTGGGTTTAGACCCCACCTGTAGAATGATTTTAGTGATCAAATAGAGCAAACTATCACCCCCTAAAGTTTGTACAGTCCGAACCCAGACACATTGTATATAAAATTCTCGTGTCACAATGTTAGTTACCATACTCCTCCGAAACGGCTGGACCGATTTTTATGAAATTTTGTGTGCACATCGGTTAGGTTTGAGAATCGGCCAACATCTATTTTTCATAGCCCTAAATGACAAGAGTGACCCACCCCTAAATTTTTTTTTTCAATATTTCCTAGAAATAATGTATATGGCAAAACAACGTTTGCCGGGTCAGCTAGTATTTTAAAACCCTTGCCATCTAACAAAGATAAAGGGGTATGTACATTACACACACCATCAGACACAATTCTATAAAGTTCTTGACGGTAAATTTAAGGATATCAAGTAAAATTTATTTATTTTCAAACGTATTCCCACATATTTTTCTATCAGTAACTTTATCCGTATTTGCGCAAATTGTTGAGATTTATGTCCCTTGTTTGTTCTAAGATCTTGAAGGTTATTCACAACTTTGGACAACGTGATTATTGTCAGTGTTTTCGTATTAACATCATAATAACCTTCTTTCAGGAATCCATGTCTAAATTCCTTTTGGCATATTTTAAAATCTTAGAACGTACTCAAGTAATTTATTTGAGACTATCCTCCCGTTAGGTTTATTAAAAATAAAATCTTATATCTGTGGACTGTTGTTTTAGTTTAAGAGTAATACAAAAGTATTTGGTAAACTTAGGTACAAAATCAATATGTAAACTGTAATATAAAGAATAAATATAACGCCTGACAATATATTCGGGCTACAAATTGCGTATGTACATCTCAAAATGGATGGAATTATTCACTTCCTACGTAACGTGTCTATCTATAAATAAAGATTCCTCTTGCAAATATTTGATAAAATTAATAAACAGTATCTCTAAGATCAAACAATGCTTGAAAGTAATTAAACTATATCTTAACATTTTCAAACAAATGTACCTAACACTTCCACATATTTTTTTACCCAAACATTTGTAATACTCAACCAAAAATTTGGTCTACAGCCTTTAAAAGAAATACGACAACGTAATGACTGTAAACAACTTAAACTTACCAGAGAGAGGAGGCACTCTTGATGATAGTGAATTATATTTGTAGTACCCACTCTTTACTTAAAAACTTTTAGTCTTCAAAAGACTTAGAACTTTAACTATCTTGTATTTACTTAAGAACTAAATGTGAGTAGCCAAAGTTTTGTTAAAATCCAAATATATTTAGACCGCGTTTAGTTCAACGTTTGAAAAACTGTGGAGAAAGTAATACGTATATAACGTTTTCAACGTGTGCACACTAAAACTGCTTTTACATTATGTTATATAGCTCTCGGGGCTTCATTCGTGTAAATGGAGTTCTGTCAAATAATTCAGTTATTGTTAATTAATAGTATTTGTTCTGTCTATGTAGTGCTCGAGCTTATCGTGCATCTTCGAGTCCGAACCCTTTAGTGATTTAATTACCTGCTGGACTAACAGTCACTGCGAACACCCTTTCTGCTCTAAGCTCTTGACGATGAAGATGCTTTCACGACAGTGCTAAGAATGTTAAAAACAGAATGTTATTATATATAGTCCTGAATCTGAATATATATGTATATATAAACCGTAGCCGTTCAGCGTATGGCCGTGGCCATTCAGCGTGGGAACGCAGCTAGAGTTATGGGCACATTTGCGCCATTTTTTATTTAATATATAGATAATTTTAGTTTTATTTACTATATATATATTTATATACACGGTGATTTTGAAAGCGTTTTGGAACAGAAAATTTTGAATTATTTATCAATAACAGAAGCTATATATAACGTTAATTTAATAAATAAATTTTTTTTCATCAACGTCGATATTCCTATCGTTTACAGAGAAAAAGTGAGAACCATTAGTAGCGCTATTCAATCACACGTAGGTAAATACTACAAATAGAAATACTATGCGTTTTAATATCGAGTCACATAAAATCGTATTCGCCAATAAAAACAAAGCTACTTATGCCCGGTTTCTGAGGAACTTTTAACGGCAGTTTATCTATTCATTAGCGCTATTGGTTCGATAACCTAAGAAAGTGCGTTTCTGAACATCGCAATGTAATATAAACTCCGTTTAAACTTAGGTTAACTTAACTGACCAATGTGTGCCGTTTATCGATTTCATAACTTTATTTGACGTTTTGCTTCAAGCAAATTACAAAAACTTTTAGGTTATAACTGTTATTATTAAATTGTCAGTGAAAACTTAATATTGAAATTAACGTAATGAATACGAGCAGCTCATCAGAGTCTGATTTGGTAGTATTGGAGTTTATTTCTAATATTTCAGTACCTAGAAACTTAAGACGTAGGAGAAATCCTTTCGAAATGTTTACGGATGAAGAATTTAAATAAAATTAAGATAAAGCACAAACGATAGCAAAGACCACGGTAAAAGCAAAGAAAAATAATACCACGATGAAACTAGACGAAACTTTTTTTTGACATCAATGAGTTTGACGTTTATTTAAAAAAAAAAAATTTGACTACGATGTCGTTCATTCATCCGCTGATAAATAGCGAATTTTAATAATTTATAACTAAAACAATGCTTATTTACTTATTTACCCTTGAATAAAATATTCTCGTAAATAAAGCTAGTAATAATCCTGAATTAAAATAATAAAACAAATTTTAAACTTGATCTCTTAAACAGACCCATCTAACGGCAGATTATGGAACTGCTTATCTGTTTGATAGTTATTGAACGGTTCATTGTGTGTTCAGAAACGCAGTGACAGTTAACCGACGTTTATCCTATACATAACTTTATTGTACCAATAGCTAATGAGAGTATAACTGGGAACTTCAGAAACCGGGCATAAGAGTTGCGTCGGAGTCGTCCAACCAATGACGGCATTGCACTGAGTCGTATGCCCCGTAGGCGCATGCGCGGGACTCACCTGTAATCGTGAGGCGTCCTTTGCTTTCAGTCGGTCAGTAATAAATACCATAACATCGTGACGGCACGCTACATTGATTAGCGCTAAAATGAGTCGACAGTACGAATTTTCAAACGTGGAGTACTTGGCAATGGTACAGCTGTACGCTACTGCCAACTACAACTTGGAAGAGGCTCGGCGTTTGTATTCCCAGCCGGAGCATTTAAATGCACTACGGCAACGTGGAATTGAAAACCCTCAAATTCCCTCCAACGTCATCTCGGCCACGGACAATTTCGTGAGCCTACTCATGCGCAAGGTCAAGGACGTTTAAATTATTATTCGCCGGAGTTTGAAGATGTTCTTGAGTAGTTCGAGCGCGATCCCCGGCGGAGCACAAGGATGGCAGCACGAGAATTTGATGTTAGCCAAACTTCGTATGGAAGATATTACGTACACAAGGATTACATCCGTATCATTTTCGTAAGGCTCACGTAATAAACAACACTGACGCACCGGCAAGAATCGCCGTTTGCCAGTGGTTGTTAAATAATACAAACGCCAACATACTCTGGACGGACGAGTCACTGTTTACTCGAGTGGGACTATACAATGTGCACAATGGGCATTACTGGGAACTAATTAACCCCCACTTGATACGAGAAAACCATCACCAGGTTCGTTTCAGTGTGAACGTTTGGGCCGATATTATTAACGACCAATTAATAGGGCCTATTTTTATTGAAGGTAATCTAACCGGCAACTCGTACTTAGAGATGTTAAGGACAGTAATATCTGAGTTAGTAGACGATGTGCCGTTAGCTTACTCGAGAGGTATGTACTACCAACACGACGGCTGTGCGTGCATACCTGGACAATGAGTTTAGTGATCGGTGGACAGGTCGAGGAGGGCCTGCGCCTTGGCCACCTAGAAGCCCGGTCTTAACGCCCCTGGATTTTTTCTTATGGTCGGAAATAAAAAGACTTCTTTATACACGGGAATATGAAAGCCGTGATGATTTACGCATTGCGATAGTGGACGCTTTTGATAAAGTGAAAAGTGATAGAGACACATTAAGAAAATTAAAAAACAATTGCATTGAACGCAGCGGACTCCATTTTGAGCAGTTGCTTCGATACAGAGAAGTGTAAATAAACTGTAAATAGGTATGGAAGTTAATTATTCTGTAGATAGCTCCGATTTTTTAAATACGCCTGAAATATTTATACCTACAATCCGTTGATAAATTGATTTGTTGTGAAAAGAACAATCGTGGTTAATAGGTAATCGAAAAGAAGTTTAAATAAAATAGGTATTTCCGACCGTCCTACTTTACTGCCCGTGTAAAGTATGAAGGACAAACTGGAGTCTATCTACGTAAGTACTCGCTAGCTCGCGCCTATAGGTATACTTTTATCAGCTGCTGTTAGCGTCAGCGGTGCGCAGCGGCCGCCGAAACGCGCACGGACGTGTTTCATTAGTATATTATTATACGAATGATCAGTGCATTACTACTTTCCAAGGCGATCGAGTAAAAATGAATATTAAAACTGAAACTTTTTTTTAAGTCAACATTACAATTGATTTAACAATTTTTATTGGTACTATAGATGATTCCAAATTAAAATGTTTCGTTTCCAAAACGCCTATAAAATCACCGTGTATATTATATATTTCAGATTAATGTACTTATATGTTATGTTTCGTTGAACACAAATAAAATAGAACTTTAGGTTGTAAATTTTATTTCTATCGGAGAACTTCCGCGTGAGCAGTTGTCTATCATCGCCTGTTCATAGTAATCGTCAGTAGCGGTTGTAGCTAACGCTGCAATATCGTTTGTGTAATAACTACCCCTAGCATCAAACTGAACTGTTGGACTTCGGTAATGTCTTATAACATTTATGATATCACCTTTGGCATCCAATTTTTGGTCCTCAGGGATCTTACGAAAGTCACTTAGTAAAGACAATAAAAATTGTTTATCTGCTTCGATTCCCGATTCATCATTATTTTCAGAAGAATTGGTTCCAGCTATAACTGCTCTTTTTGGAGCAACTCTTTCATCATCTAAATCAGACATATCATCGGTGTTCTGTTTATGTCGCTTTTTTTTATGACGAATGCTGCTTCCTGAGCTCCTCTGATTAATTGATTTGGCTGCGTATAAATCGTGTAAAAAGTGTAGTTGTTCATAATAAAGATATAATTTCCCCTTGCCTCCAGATTCAAGTTTCTCGTTGTAATTTTTTACACTTCTCGTGAATCCATCGCGTAAAACCCTCCATTTTGTTTGCATTTGGAGAACTGAAAAGAGAAAATTAGTAAATTTACTTAGGTTATGTTCATAGGTATTTATTTGACATTGGCTGGGCCTCGGCAGACCTCATTATGAGATTGGATGTTTACTACAATTTGTACACTCATCAATTAAATTTTCGTAAGAGAGCACTATTAACAGAATACTGTAAAGTAAATCCATCAAAAACCCATCTACAATAAAACCTACACTCCGGCTACAGTAGGTATCTGAATGCAAAAACCCTAAAGATTAATAGAATGTAAACCAAAATGATTGAAATTTTATAGTAAACATTGGCATATTCATTTATTTTTATGAACTTAAGTTTTGAAATAATATAGGAAGAAAGAAAGATTTTTTTTTAATCGCGCATACACAATCAAAATATTATTAAACAGAATTAGAATACCTATACGATTGAGATAGCAGAGATTTGTGTTAAAAACACTTTGCGTTAAAATCGTCAAGAAACGAAACATGCAGAGAACCCAAACGACTACATTTCAGCTGAATTCGATATGAAAAACATTTAAAAAATAAGAAAATCCTTAAGGATCTGCATCAGTCGGAAGGAAAAGGTCCCGTGCTGCCGCCCTGCCCACTCGACGATGACCGGCTAAGGCGCCTCTATGGCGGCAAAGCAGGCACGTGAAGCCTCCAGCCGGGACGATCAATGACCCATCGTGGCTGGGCAAGCGGCCTCGTGCCACTTGAGTACCTCTTCAGTGGCCTCCAATTACCCTTTGAGGGCGCCAGAGATGCGACCTAATCTGGGCGGTCAGAGCCGCCGTCCAACCGGTGCACCGTACAACGCCATTAACCGAACATGGCCAGTGTACGGCCGTCTTGTCGCGACTCAAATTGGTACACCCAAATTGGGCAAAAGTCGCCCAAGGGCAGACCGGCTCGGCATAATCGAAATTTAGTCGAAAAGCCACGTCCCGTCAAGGATCAAGCCCATATAAAGTATCTGGAACGGGTAAGATGATCGAGTTGAGCACGATTGAGGCGCCAGGGAATGGACCACGACGAGGTCCATAAAATAAGAGACCGCCATGCTATCCAGACCGACCACTAAAAAAGACACCACACTTAAAAGTTTGCCTCTCGGGCTGTATCTTAAGTGTCCTCGGCGTAACAGATGACGCCCAGCCCGTGGGGGGGGAGTCTCCTCAAAGGGCCCGGTCGTACCCTATGTTCCCATGGGGCAAAAGACCAGAGCCCTGTGGAACACCGTACGACATGGGCCGATGTCTCAAACCTGAATAAACCCTATGGAGTCAGTTTTTTTAAACTTGTGTTGGGTTGGTCATACCATTCACACACTGGTATGACCAACCCATCTGGCCAGCGTGGTATAGCAGGCAAGAGCTCTTTTTACGACGGAAAACGAGGGGTATTATAAGTTTAACCTGTGTATCTGTCTATCTATCTGTGGCATGATAGCTCCCGGATGGACCAATTCTGATACGGATTTTTTGTTCGAAAGCCGATGTGATTGAGAAGGTTCATAGCCATAAATTTTGAAGATCAGCTCACTTCTTAGATGATGAAGGGATCTCACTAAAATCTGAAATTTGGTATGCTGTTACTTTGATGGTATTTCCACGACATGGTAACCTGGAACTTGCCGCTGCATCAAGTAGCTGCAGGATAGCCAACTCCTTAGATATGTTTTTAATGATGCTATTATCTAAGGATAGGCCTATGTCCAGCAATGGGTTATTATATGCTGTTGATGATGATGATGAATACCGTAAACTAGATAACTTAAAACACTAAAAACAATATTGGGTCGGAAGTTAACTGTTTTATCTGCTGTGATAAGTAAGAGTACGCTGTGGTTTGAGGTTGCAACAAACGTTGTAAAACATATCAGTAGAAAAAAAAAACTGAAAACGACGATGATGGTGCACAAAAATGATCGAATTAATTTAAAATAAGTAACTGTTGTTATTGTTTTTTTTTTATATATTCCTAATCTTGATTTGTTGATTTACTATTTTAATGTTAATTTATTGAATGTTAGCATTAGTATTACGTAATAAAAAGGTAACTAAATTATTATACATACATAATAAACAATAAGTAGGTACAAATGTATTGTATGTTTTTTTTTCGCAATAGCTAATAAAAGGTTTATGTTTAGTGGCAAATTTTAGCGACTTTTGGAGTAGGGCCGTTTTTCGTTAGTGGTTTTCTGGTGGTTTGGTTGATGAATCTGGTAGAGTTAAGTTAACTGTTGGCAACACTGCCCCTGACCCGACAGGCAGGACCGCTGACCTGCTCGCACTGTCGCCTGTCGCGAGTCTCATAATAATGTAGTATAGCGTATTAACCACTTTAACCATTGTGTAACCATTTTAAAAGACGCGTTAAATTAACCTTTTTTTTTTTTTTTTTTTTTTTACGTGTGGAAATCCCCTCGGACCGTCACCCCGCCGGGGCTCTCGTTCGGCGGGGCGGTGTGTCGGACTCGAACCGACTAAAACCACACGGTGTGCCCTCCACCATCCAATCGTCTCTCCTTTGTACCTTGTTAGCATATGCTGTACTCTTATAGTTCCAAATACTTTCTTTGTTCTTTATTAGGGAAGTAAATTTATCTACGTCAAAATTGTCTTCCATGTTCACAAACAATCAAAGCAATAATGATAAATGAACGCGGACTGCATGCGACAGCGAGTGCCGACTTCAGACGAGTGCGGCCGAACAGCCGACAGCGCGTTCGTGTACAACCGCACGAAGTCCGTGTGATGCACAAGCTTCGCGTTGCGGCGCGATGCTGCGCAATACACGCTTTTCTCATTCAAACAATAAAAACGAATCTAACAACATAATCTTATTTTCTGAAATTCCTTTTTTCCTCATGTACCTACTTGTCATTATATTGTCAATATTTATTCTTAATATGTAATTGATTTTTAAGGATTACAGAAGTTTTTGGGAAAGTCCAATAAATACTAATGTGTAGGTAACCTTTTGACATCCGTTGTATCTTTTAATTTTAATATTATTCAATTTAATGTTTAGTTCACACTACGAAAATATGTGAGGGAAAGCACAAAAATAAAAGGATAATATTCTAAAAAAAATCTTGTCGACCAACAACAATACAAACGTTGATGCAGTTCCAGCAACTTTGTGTAGATGGCACTGTAAGCAATAATAACTAAGTTGCCTGAATATTTGGCTCCGAAAATTGTTAATGTCTTGTCGTTGACGATGAGTAAAATCTAAAATTACAGGACTATTTTGGTGCTGTAAATACCGAAAAAAGAAGTCAATTCCCAGGAAAATTTATTTTATATCGAATAACCAGACTAACCAAGACTCACTAAAATTTATTTAAAGAAATGTAAAGTTTATAGAAATCCTTTAAAAGTAATCAGCTTTTACTCTTTCCTGTTAAAAGGAAACACATATGTACATTATAACTCATTTTCCTTAGATTATTTAATCTAAGTCATTTTCGTATTAAACTAAGTGGATTTAACGATGTAGAATAATAATGTCTATTTGAAATGATTACCTGTTATTTTCTTTTGGTTTATAAAAAGGATTATTTCCTAATCCTACTCAGTGTTATTCTTCTCAGTGGTTGACAAAACATCACAATTATTGTGTAAGTTCATATTTTTGTACTTCAATCTAATAGACTAATTTTTTTTGTATTGTACTTGAAGTAGGTACTTACACAAATTTTTAATGTATCAAATGAACGTCCACAACGGTATTTTATAATATTTAAAAATTACTGATGAAAAATAAATCGTTATAAAACCATATGCATGTTACAATGCAAGAAGCATTCCTATAATTTTCTAATTTTTTCTGATCAATAGTTTTATTACAAGATACTTTTCTCAGAGGCTTTAAATCAATTTTTAAATTTATATAAGTTTTTTATTTATGTAACTTGTTATTATTATATAGGTACTATAATTTCGGCAGCATTTCGAAAGAGCTCGCTAATGCTGAGTGACTATTACTTACGGGTTACGGGTAAATAAATAACTAAGTAATTTACACAAATGTCCGTGATGAAATGAACAATATCACGGCTACCGTTGGCTACCGTTGGTAATATTTGTATTAAGCCGTTTGATATATGTGTAATTTTCTGTTTAGGAATTATGGTATATATCACACTTACGATGTTCCTGCTTGCGTATTGCGCAATTCAAACTAACATGGCCGAAACATCAACTTACACAACAAAATATGATGGAATTGAGCTGAAAGAGATTCTGTCTAATGATCGAATATTGACTAACTATGTACGCTGTCTATTGGACGAAGGACCATGTACACCGGATGGAAAAGAGCTTAAAAGTAAGCAAAGAAATTACCTTTCTTTAGTCTTTGCTTCCGATGGTGCTTTACTTGACTCACTATTTTACTGTACTACTTATTAGCTTAATTGGATGACAAAATGGTTAAGAAACTTACCTATCAACATTAAAGAATTTAACAAATAAATGGCAAGAAAAAGATTTGATGATGATCGTACTTTTTCAGTCGCAACGAACGGATCTATCACATTCAATTATCACAATCCAAGGTATATTTTAAACGATCATTTGAACACGTATTCATATTATTTTAGAAAACCTCCCGGACGCTATAGCCAATGACTGTGAAAAGTGTACTGAAAGACAGAGGACAGGAGCAGATGAAGTGATGCACTATCTCATCGATAACAGGACTGATGACTGGCTTAAGCTTGAAGAAAAGTGAGTACCTATTATTTCTTTGCCTTTGAGTAGAGTTGAAGGAATTCAGAGGGTTAGGAATGACGACGACGGAAGAATTACAGCAAATAACTTAACTAAACCAGCTCCTCCTTAAATAGTGCCTGTAAAATTGGTACCTATTGGATTACAACTCAAAATGTGTACCAATGTATCAAGACTTGTTTTTGTAACGGGCCTGTATGTAAAGTCTAAATAACTAATTGCTAAAACATGCACGTAACTTAACTGCACTAAACCAACTCCTCCTTAAATGATTTTGAAGGAATTACGAATCGTAACAAAGTTGGACACAAATAGGACTATACTTGTAAAAGGCCCATTAGGCGTAGGTATGTCTAAACCTAGTTTTCTCAATGTTAGATTAAAAATAACTACTTACATTTTCAGGTATAATTCAGATGGCAGCTACAAAATTAATTATTTGAAAGGAAAACAAAATGCAGAAGATAAAACAAATGTAAGCACCAGTTCTGAGAATAAAAACAGTACTTTGGAACATTAACGATAGAACCTAACGCTTGTTAATATCGTAACTCGTATTTCTCACTTGGACCTGTAACCTGCAACGCATATTGTAAATTATACGAAAGCCGCCTATATTATATTTAATACTCTGTTTCATTTTAAACCTTTTAGTAATATAAACTGTAAATTATTAATATTAAAAATTAGATTAAATTTATATAAAGAAAACGTGGAAATTAAGTAGATTGCGATTGCGGAATGGCCGGTAATGAATGGAAAAAAGCAAGTACATACAGTAACTAAAATAACTCAGTACTAAAGTAACTGAGACAACAACAAACTAAAGCACACTAAACTATAAGTAATATGACCAGGTAATATTCAATTATCGTCCAGATAATTGATAGTGATAGTTACATTTATTTTTAAAATAAAAGTCAGTAACTAGTTTTAAAATCAAAGCGGACTATAAGGAAGATTTTTATATTTCGTAAATCTAATCAATTTATTTATCAATTTCGACACCCACAAAAAAGCAACCAATCTTTTTTAAATTTTATGTTAAATTTCCCAAAAGGGTTTTTTTTAATAACAAGTTGTAGTTGGGTTTATGAATATTGTATATGATTTTATATATTATTACAGAATAGTAAATAAAAAACCATTTTGTTTTGTTTAATAATTTAATTAATACTGGCAACCACAATATGTAACATATTATAAAAAGTAACATACGAACAAGAAATAAGTGTATCGTAACAGCCATAGCATTTAAGGTATCAATTCAGTTGCGTACCTCCTGACTCTAACTTTAATGCCTGGCATTGTATAAATATTCTTAGAAGAACGTATTACTTCTTCTCCTTTTCCTATAATTTTGAACTTAAGCTCTTGAATTGGAGGACGTGCTTCTCTTTTCTTTCTTTGAAGAGCAGATCTACAACAATATCGGCCTTAATGATGATAAGAATAAACTACCAAAACTACAGTACATATTTGGTGCATGTGACTATATTTTCCTTCTTTCTTCACATAACAATACGCATTCGCGTACAAAATAAAGAGATATGACGCTATTTTATTAAATCTTAGTTCAAGTAAAATTGGTACCTGTTGAATTACAACTCAATGTGTTCCAATGTGTCAAGACTTTTTTTCGTAACGGGCCAGTACCTAAAATGAACAAAACTAACTAAATCAGCAACCAACGCTAAAACATTCAACGTACCAACTTAATCATAGTATATCTTGCTACATAGGTCTACTTTTCATCCAAGTATCCTTTGAACTCTATGCAGACCTTCGTACCTGGTGAGGAATAGCTTCCAGGCAACAGGATCGTGGGCCATTAGTGAAGCTATCAGCCTACCCGCTCGTTCTTTATCTTCTACTGAACATTTTTCACAGTCCTCTTTAACTGCTTGTATCAGAACACCTAAAAGCATTTAGAAGGTGAAGGTGCATTTGTTACTGAAAGAAAGGTGGTTAACATTTTGCCGGTTGAACAGAAAGAAACGGACAAAATCTTAATACCACCCACTTATCATACAATAATTAACATCTATTATCTTTATAATATTAATGCGGTGTATTTACCAACGCTGTTTTGCCAATATTATTTTTTTTAATTTTTAATAATTTTTTTTTTTTTTTTGTTTCTAAAACGTTTGGGACGGCAATTCTTTTGTACCGAACGCATATTCTAAGGAAATAGATTGCTGTCTCGAATAAAAAAAAAAAACATTTATTGAATATAAAAAATAAAACAAAACTACAACAAAGTTGCATATTTTCAAAGTAGCACAGTCTATATATTTTTACAGAATATAACCAAGTAACACTGTATACTTTAAATTGAAAACGACGATGTAATGTATACCGAACAATAATGCATAGCGAAATGTGTAATCGCAACTGGCACCCACAGGACAGACTTGCCTAGTGTGGGGCCACGGCAATGTATCACATATTTTGTACTTTTCTCTTTGGTAGTAAATGATACATTTATATTTATTTATTATTTGAGTTATAAGACGTTATAACTATTCTACAACTATGAATACGATTGTATAGATTGATGTTTGTTACTTAAACACGTCAGAACAGTTCAACGAATCTTTATGCAATTTAGCACAAAGATGGTCTGATAGCATAGTTTATCCCGGAAAAAAATATTGACAAAATCGACATTAACATTAAAAGCTACTATCGTTAACCGACCACAAAAAAAAGGAGATAATTCTTAATTCGGCTAAATTATTTCTTTAATATTTGCTACCTAAGAACTAGAAGTACGAAATCAACCTATTTGGAAAATTCTCCTTGGTGAAAATTAAGGAATGAAGAATACAGCTTCATATTCATCATGATTATTCCATCCTACAATGGAATTCGGGTATACATATTTATAAAAGATAATTAAGTATATCATATAAGCCCATTTTAGAGGAACACAACAGAGAACACACAATGACTTTAAATATACTTTCAACTTTAAGAATTTGCACATTTGACCTAAATTAAAAATGATAACTTACTTTTCAATTCACCCATCTCTTTAGAACAATATCGATCAACGGACATAAGACATTTGACGTCTTGCGGTGGCAGAGGGTTTATTGCTTCGTTTAAATTAACTTTCTTGCTGTTTTTCTTTTCTTCTTGTTGAACAACTTCGTTGAGAATAGATAAGTCTTCGTCGCCGTAAACTACTTTAAAGCCCAAACTGTTCACCCCTTTGCTAACTGTTGTCGTGATATCCGGTTGTCCTGTCACATGTATTATAACGACAGTAATAATGGTTAGCAGTTTAGTCGACATTGTTATTGGTCGTAAGTCGCTGATTGCTCTGGACTCAATGAAGTGCTCATCGAAGCGGCGGTAACTCAGCTTGGCTGTTGCAATATTACGTGTTTTGATCCTAATTATTCTGGCAGATTTATTTAATCAACATTGTTAGGGTTGTCGAAATCACTATAAATATATACATATTCATAATTATATTACTTTTAGTTTTCAAATAATAAAAACGTTACATTGCAATTTTCTGAAATCTGCACATTTGGTTTGGACCATGCGAGTATAGTAGATAATATAGATCCCAGTCTTTCCCACCCACACCACATAAATGCATTTACTTTACTGCCTTAAAATAGTATAAAACATAAAAATAGTTTTACATAATTAGATGTAAACAATTTCAATGTACATGTGAATACGGGACTTATTTAAAAAAAAAGCTTACGGTAAAGGCTTTTAATAAGCAGCCTGACTAATATGAGTGTGTTAGATTTCTTGTTAATATACCCACAGTTGGGATAAAAGTCAAGGAATAAATACTGAAAGTCAAGAATGAATTTAAACTAGAAATTTATTAATAAATAAATATATGTAAGAAGTTTTGATTATTAATTATTCAATGTTTTAAAGTAATTATTTTAGCTTCTCGAAATGAACGATGTTATAATTAAAACGATAGATTAATGCTTTAAATTCACTATTATTTATTATCATAACAACTACTAGCATTATTAGTAATTTATATAACTAATCAATTTAATACGAATAACATTGCTATTTATATATTTACTTCTTAGTTACAACAAACACTAACATTATACATTATACTAATGTCAATGCCAATCTTTCCTAAAATAACTTAAATAGCAGATAAATACAAATGTACAGACAAAACACTAATATTACACGTTATACTAATGTCAATGCCTGTTTACCATAAAAATAACTTATATAGCAAATAAATACAACTGTACTTAACTTATGTATCGATGTACCGTTCCGTAGCTGCCTCACAACTGAACTGCCAACGTTTTACCCTACCATATTAGTAGTTTGAAATAGATAAAAAATCAATCAGTACAACTTCCGTTAGCAATATTCATCAAAAAATAATTTAAAGTTGATAAGTGCAAATAACACAAAATAAAAATAGGTTTTTAAATTAATAATTGTTTACAAAATAAGTATATCTTGTCAAGTGCGAGATGTTATTTTTTACATTTTCACGACTTAAATCCTCATTCGTTTAGTTTGTGAGGCAAAGAGAGCCGACCTGAAAGTACCTACCTTTTGTTAAGAAAAGAAATATTGTTCCTAAGAAATACTAACTACTTAGGTCTACGTTTATAAAATATAAAAGCTTGAGACAACCCTACACAGATTACAGAGTATTCGGGGCGCGCATGGCATCGTAAATAAACAACCTTCGCCCGAGGTGCATACCAATGTAGGTTCTAGTGAATAATGAGTGGTGACAGTTCAGTGGCATGCACGGGGCAGCAACTTAGCATAGCTCCATTTAAAACATCACTATCAAGTAATAACGTTCCCAAAATAAGCTATAAACCAAGACAAGTCTTCTGATCCGTGAAGAGTCAATAATTTTTTTATCAAATCTTTACAGAGTACATATTTAAAAGAAAATATTTACTAGATATCAAATAATGTTGATACACGAAAAGCGTCGGCACTACCCGCTGAGATTTGAGGATAGAAAGTGAGCAAGTACCTACTTATGTTGGATGATTGGTATTGACGTTAGTTATCTCGAGGAAAAAAATTACCCAACTTATGTGGCAGTAACAATATACGACAGACTATATTAAATTACGACAGACTACTGTCTGGAGTGTCTGATCTCTTATAAATGTAGCGAACACCTAAGGTGATAGGATAAGGTTAGCCGACAGCTACTCCACAATGATAGTAACAAGGATGAGCACAGAGAACACTCTAGACAAGGTAAGTCGTGACGCGTATAAGTGATGTATAATCGCTAAAGGAAGTGTCAAGGGCCATAAGACTGGTTGTAACTAATAAAAATAATAATAATAATAATCCTCCAAAAGCCTCCATTTCATATAATGTTTGTTTTTGATCGAACTGCAGTCACTACCTCTCCCCCAGGAATAGTTTCGACAGAAAAGTGTGAGCATGTCGACTTTCGACAACTGGAAACTCTAAATTAAAAATCGAAGATAAAATAAACCGCAAATTTTTTAGCCAATGCAGCGATTACGTTCTATGTTCGTTTTCTAATAATATTTGCTTATAATAATTAAACAGCTAATAAGTTAAATCCGCGTGATGACGGATTAAGAATACGGAGTGTCACCACTCATTTTTATCCTAGAGAAGTCTGTGCCCAGCAGTGGACTATTAAAAGCTGTCGATGTGATGATGTAACAAATTATTCCTTGGAAAATGATTTTAAAACAGTTTAGGTATTCATCATGTAAAGTATATGGCACGGTATTTTATTTTATGGCATGATCTTTGATGCTCTCTTAATTTACATAAATTAATATCCTTACTTGAAATAAATTGCACTGTTTACAAAACAGATAAAGTTTTTTCTTGTTGCAACGGAACGTTTTAACTACGGAACCCCATGCTATATGCAGCCGGACACTCACTTGACCGGTATTGTTACACGTATAAAGGTATGTACTCTAGAAAAACCAGATATACTTGTGTGTAGTAGCTCTCATGGCAAAGATCAATATCTTTAAGTGTTTATTGACTTAAGCCGCTCTACCTGTTGAAACTTACCATTTGCGATTACTATTTACGAGTCCAGTATTAAATTAAAATCCAGTATTAACAAACTAAATACAAGACTAAGAAACCGAGTCATGGTTGGAATTTTAGTCTGTTGTTGGGTATTTCCACGCATATAAATCGTCATTTGTACAATTAAGTATTTTGAAGTCGATTGGGATATTGGGACAGGAGAGATCAGATACTATAGCAAAATAAAATATACTCTTAAATTTTATTTATCACTTTTTAATAACCCTTCCATTATCCTAGACGCTACAGCCATATCAACTTTATTTTGCGAGTTCTTAAACAATATTCCCAAAAGGGCTTTAAAAACTTTGATTTTACCTTCTTTATATTGTTTCACCAATTTCGGATTATTCTCTAAGACCTCGACGCACAGTTTTTTTATGTCATCCTCGTTACCTGTAAGTATCCAACCTTTTTCTTGTACAACTTTCAAAGGTGAAATATCGCTATCAGATAAGGCGATTAATTCATCTAAAACTTTTCTACAAACATCTAAAGTAATGTCTTTACTGAGATGCATGTCAGTCAATTCTTTAAGTTGCTTAACAGTGATAGGGCAGTCATCTACAACTAGTTTCCTTTTGTTAAGTACAGTTAATAAATCATTTATGAGCAGGTTGGCCACTTTGTTCGCTGATCTTTTATTATCTGTGGTTAACTTTTGAAAGTATTCTAAAAGGACTGGTTCGTTGACCAATTGTATTGCGGTTTCAGGTCGCAGTTGAAATTCTTGTATAAGTTGTTTTCTAGACTCTTCTGGCAATACTGGCAGTTTGTCTTGTATCAAAAGTACACTTAAGATGTCGTTGTGGTCGTCTTTTGTCGTCAGATTTACGCGTAGTGGTGGAAGATTTGGTTCGGGCATGTACCTGAAATGAAAAAATATAGTATTTTCTTATAGTAATTTATTGTAATGTAGTAATTTTAGTCAATTTACAAAAACAAGACTTCAAAAATTACAAGTCTAACATTTTCTCGAAACTAAAGAAATTGGACAAGTATCAATTCTCGCCGATGCGATACAATGTGTATAAATATGGCTTGTTTTCTTGGCTATCATGGCCAAGATATTTAGAGAACGAAAATACATTGATTTATTACTAAACGTGTCGTACTTTTCACGGTCTTTTCCTTTATATAGGTACAGATAGATACACTTAATACAAAGTATGCCTTGTGCGTAAATTTTTCTAATATTCAACAATATTTAATTTATATTTGACATAATTTTGTATAGTGCTTCTAAATAGAAGTTCTTTATTAAATTTTAATGATCAGAAATCGAAGTGTATTATTATAATTACCGATAATCCTGCACGACCTCTTTGTCCCTCATTGGTATAGTGACTCTCGCGGTCGCATCCCAGGCTCGCGTCTCATTTATAATGCGCCCTCCGTTATTTAGTATTGCTCGTTGTCGTTCTATTTCATGCCGAATCGCACCTGCCACGCCACGAACCGACCCGATGTTCTTTATCTAAAAAGGAGCATACATCATTAATTTAATTGGCGGTCAAGGTGACTTTAAAGACTCAATGTAAATAAGAATATCTGATGCCAACATGCTATGACACACCTTTTAATTGTAAATGTAGTATATTATCAATGCTGGAATCATAAAAGTTGTACTTGGGAGTGGAAAAAAACATTAAAATGCCTTTCATTCTTTCTCATTAGGTTAATGGCTGTTTTATCACCGTCGTCATTTTTCTTGACTCTTGGCCAACTTCACTTGGGCGCCGACTCCAAGTACCTAATTGTACCCAATGTGGCACATAGCAAAGGGTTTGGAAATGTAATCGTTTTCAGACGGGACAAAGGAAGGGTACACCGACTTGTTTCTTGTATTGGTAAGTTTAAACGTATCCATGTCATTAGTACCCATATTAATACATTGAACACTGCTGAAGTCAGAGATTAATAATCATTGTTCAGTATTCATAAGTATTCATAAGTACCTACGTAAGTAAGTAAGTATTGGGATCATCTGTAGATTGTGCAGCATTCGTGGTCACTTTTCTGCGGCTCGATAATCGGTCCATGAAACTGAAATCTGAGGCGTTGGCAAACACTCATTCGTAAAGCCAACACTAAGCTAAATATTCTTCACTAGTTGCACTCCGCGGTTTATCAAATATATTTCAATTCCTTGATTATCCTACGCGAACACTACATTTTATCGGGATAAAGAGTAGCCAATGTGTTAATCAATTGTGTCAGCTGCCCCGATACGAAATTTTATAGAAATTGGTTAAGCCGTTTGAACGTGAAGAAGTAACAAACATACAAATACACACCCACACACTTTCGCCTTTATAATATTAGTGTGAAGTGTGATAGTCAGCCTTCGCACTATACCATCTTAAGCCATCATCCCATGCTTCTCTAACGATGCTCTAGCGTGATAGGTTATTTTGCAATGGTAGATCTTAATTCTCACCTCAGTTCTGGTTGACAATGGATCTCCAGGACGTCTGAGCGATACATTAGCATCAACTCTTAGAGCACCTTCCTCCATACGTCCTGTACAGGCACCGAGCCTTTGCACAATCAGCACAAGCTCTTTAACCAATGCTGCTGCTTCCTCGCCGTCCTTAAACGAAAACATGAAAAATTGAATCATGAAAGTTTACAGTTCGCAAGTAGACCTGCAATATTAGTTTCCTCTTTAACTGTCTTATGGAAATAGTTTAAACCTCTTTTGGAACCTGGCGAACAATGTAGTTACTGTGTGTAACCGTCCGTGTGGTGACGGATTAAGAATACAGAGTGTCACCACCCCTATTCATCCCGTGGGTGTCGTAAGAGGCGACTACGCAGAACAAAGCTGGCCAGCGTGGTATAGTAGGCCAAAACCTCCTTTCTAAGGAGAGGCCTATGTCCAGCAGTGGACTAGTATAGGCTATTGATGATGATGATGATGATGATTGGTTGGTATGCTAATATTATATTAATATTAGTATATTAACTTTGTTTATTAACCAAACGATTTCTAAATTCAAATAATGAAGAAACCCTTTCAGTTAATTCTTGCAGTAATAAATTATAATTTAATAGAAACTTTAGGTAAGCAGACATGCACTCGAAAATGCACAATGGTAAAGCAGTAAGTAAGCAAATTGATTTATCAAAGGGCTACGTGAATCTCAATTCTGCAAGTGCCAGAATAACTGCGTAGTTAACTAAATCGTTGGTTACTGAATACTCGAATGTTAAGGCTGACCCCACATTGTGCGTGCGAGCTATTCAAGCGCGCGAACGACGCGTGCAAACCGCGACAACGCTTCGCAAGCGCCGCGTTCAAACAGCGCGTGGCATGTGCACAGCGCGAACGCCGCGCGCACGCTAATCTCGCGTCGCGTTCCTGAGTGACCGGCCACTCACGACCCCGTCAGTCACAAGGCGGATAATGTTGTGTACACACGTGTAAAAATTGAGTTTTATTTAGAGAGAAGAATGAATGTCGACCACAGATCGTTTTCGCACAGAACCCGACACGTGCCCACACACCGCACGCTGTCAAAACGCTACTTTCACGCCGCGCTGTCGCCCGCACGCGGAGTTCTAACCGTGAGACAGCCATGTTTCGGCACATACAACAGCATGCATAATATAAACAGCATGTTTATTTTATAACCAGAGGCGAAATCGAATCGAACGAAATCACCAAAATCTTCAAGATTTTAGTGATTTCGTTTAGGATATTTTTGACTAATGAGATCTATTTCGCATTTTATATAAAAGAAATTAATGCACTACTAAACAAATTTGAAAATAATATTTATTCTATTAATTATATAATTGTTAACTATAAAAACACACGTACTGTTTTAAAATTATGTATAACTTATAGTGTACATATCGAGTAGCAGTAGGTACCTGTATACTCGTACATACAGTTTATATACTGTGTGTATATGGGTGAGTGTATGCTCATTTTTCGACACGCCAAGAGGCGTCGTGATCTGCGGTCGGACGGTGGGTGTACTGAATGAGAACACTAGAGTAGGGTTTGTAAAATGAAACCACCGCGCTGTATTCCGATCTTGATCGACAATATATTTATAAATAAAAATATTATGTTTTAAGTACATGACGGTAACGTAATCATACCGCGATTTAGAAAGCCAGTACTACGCCATTATTGACGATCTATAAAAAAATCGATTAAGATCAATGAATTGATCCATTTGGTTTTGCGTTCATAGTAAACACTCATTAACATTTATGTAGCTGAGATGACAATGCAAAGCTATATTAGCATTTATGAAATAATTGTTTACAGCACTATTGTATTATTTTATGTTGCATTTAAGAGACTTTGTAGTGACAGTCAACAATAACTAGAGGAATATAGTTGCTTTAGTACCTACCATTTTCATCTGAATCTTATTTTTTTATGGAAGAGCGGGCAAACGAGTGTCTGCTCCGTCACTTTCCATCAGGTGACTCGTCTGGGTTACCTAAGTGCCGAGTGTGAGTTTATTTCACATTAACTCACTCGTCACGGTGACAGAGTTCGGCGTTGCGATTGGCCCGCACTGAAATCTGCACCAATCGCAACGCTATAAACACTAAGAGCGAGTAGAAGTGAAATAAACTCGCACTTGGCCCTCTGATGGAAAGTGACTACTGCCGCCCATGAACGCCTACAACTGAGGGGTCAAAAGCGCGTTGCCGGCCTTTTAGGAAGGATACACTGTTTTAGACGAGTATGTTCCGAAAAATAGCAGTCTTACGGTTAAAATTGTTGTAATCTTATAATCTTGAACAGAAATATCAAACAACAATTCATTCCGCAAAATAATGTTAAAATTAATAATTTTAATTACTTCACGCACACACACAAACACACATACTCGTGTGGTGATGGTGATGAAAAACTGATGTTTAATCATTACAATAAAAAAAACTGGTTTTCAAGAAATATTATAAGTATGTAAATAATTTTTGATAGTTTTAACATCAATACTTGTTAGCCACTTAGCCAGCCAGTTACATGGATTAAACCATTTTTGTAGAACTTGGTCCAACTGTAAAATAGGTACACATAGAAGAATGTATTTTTTTTAAAAGACAACCACCAACAATATGAATTTATCCTGTGTTGCGGGAGCCTTCACAAACATACACACATGTTTGTACACCTGACTCGGAAAAAAAATTGTGGATCACAGAGAGTTTCCTTCGAGGTTCGATCCACACAGGGGACAACTCCCACGTGGAGATCGACAACGCTCGCGCAGTAGGAAGCGGCGAGGTGCCTGCTTAAACCACTATGCTATGCGTCTAAAATCTCTACATTCCTCAATTGTTTAGTTGCAAATGACTTGTGTACATATTACTATTTACGAGCTAAATGCCAATGAAATAGGTTTGTTTACTATTGTATTAATGCAGAATGTCATGATAATGTTGTCATGACCTAGAATTGGATTACTTCACAAGTATATTAACAATTACAATGTCTGTTTCAGTCATTTTTATAAAATATGTATTTAACACTAAAGTTAGCATTGACGAAATCGAGATGGCTCTTGGACAGCTGAAAAATGGAAAAGCCCCTGGAGAGGACGGCGTTACAACAGAGCTGCTAAAGGCCGGGGGTAAACCTGTACTAAGGGAGCTCCAAAAGCTCTTCAACGCTGTCCTGTTTGAAGGGAGAACTCCGGAAGCGTGGAGTAGGAGTGTGGTCGTCTTGTTCTTCAAAAAGGGTGACAAGACCAGGTTGAAGAACTATCGACCCATATCCCTTCTAAGCCACATCTACAAGCTGTTTTCGAGAGTCATCACGAACCGTCTTGCGCAAAGACTCGACGAATTCCAACCACCGGAGCAAGCTGGGTTTCGGAGCGGATATGGCACCATAGACCACATCCACACAGTGCGGCAGATTATACAGAAGACCGAAGAATATAATCAGCCCCTGTGTCTAGCATTCGTGGACTATGAGAAAGCCTTTGACTCGATCGAGATCTGGTCTGTTCTGGAGTCCCTGCAACGTTGCCAAGTAGATTGGCGATACATCCAAGTGATGAGATGTCTCTACAAAGCCGCCACCATGTCCGTCCAAGTTCAGAATCAGCAAACAAGGCCCGTACCATTGCATCGAGGAGTGAGACAAGGGGACGTTATTTCCCCGAAATTGTTCACAAATGCAATGGAGGACATGATCAAGACGCTGCACTGGAAAGGGCGTGGCATCAATATCAATGGCGAATACATCTCTCACTTGCGATTTGCAGACGACATCGTCACCATGGCAGAGACGTTGCAGGACCTACAGCAAATGCTGAATGACCTAGCTGACGCTTCTGTACGCATCGGCCTACGGATGAACTTGGATAAAACCAAGGTCATGTTCAACGAACATGTACTACCGGAACCGATTGCGGTACACGGTGCCGTTCTCGAAGTTGTTCAAAATTATGTGTACCTCGGGCAAACATTGCAGTTAGGTAGAAACAACTTCGAGGACGAGGTGAACAGAAGAATTCGGTTGGGTTGGGCAGCGTCGTCGAGTCTTCTCATCGTCGATCCCACAGTGCCTTAAGACGAAAGTCTTTAACGAGTGCGTCCTACCCGTCATGACATACGGAGCTGAAACGTGGACACTTACGGTACGGCTGGTCCACAAGTTCAAAGTCGCTCAACGTGCTATAGAAAGGGCTATGCTCGGCGTTTCTCTAAGGGATCGCATCAGAAATGAGGTGATCCGGCAGAGATGGTTCTCTATGTTACAGGCCTTGGTAGGTCACCGACATAGCCTACCGGATCAGCAAGCTGAAGTGGCAGTGGGCTGGCCATATTAGCCGGAGAACCGACAACCGTTGGGGAAAACGAGTTCTTGAGTGGAGACCGCGTCTCGGTAAACGTAGTGTAGGACGCCCACAGGCCAGGTGGAGTGACGATTTGCGCAAGATGAAAATCGATCTAAGTGGCGTGCAATGGGAGAGGTCTATGTCCAGCAGTGGACTGCGATAGGCTGATGATGAAGTAAAGTTTATTATTTCAATGGCACTACACGACACTATCTTTAGTATGCCATGTTTTTATAAATTCCACTTGCCAAGAAATATAGCTGTGTTGCTAGAAACTTGACAATCACACATTCACATTAGATAAACTACGCAGATGTGTACTTTTTTTATATATTTACATTTAAAGTGGCAGTTAAATTATGTATTTTTGTATTAAATAGCACATTTATTTTTTGTAGGTGTGTCAATACCTATACCTAAAAACCAGTTTAAATATTTCTTGTCTGTTTGTTTGTTCCAGGTAATCTTAAAACGGCTGGACCGATTTAGATAATATTTTACTACCAGGTAGCTGTCTATATAAGGAGTAGCTTATGCTATTTACCCTCTCTAAAAACCCTATAAAATTCTGCCCGGTCTGGGCAACGAACCCGAGGTCCTAATAACATTTTCAATTACACAAGAACAAAGCTACGGCTACCAGCTAGTAAAATATAATATACAAAGAACATCTAGACTTGCAAACAATTTCCTTTATGCAAATTGCAACCACAATAATCATGTTATTATCATTATTAGCAACTTTTATCAGCAAATTTTAAGACATTCTCTTGTTTGTATTATTATAAATTAAATGCTTCCTGTGCATGAATGCCAAATGATAATGCAATAAACAAAGAAACAATCAAATAAAACTATTGTCTTGAGTTAAGCTTAATAATTAGTATTAATTAGGTTGGTATTATTTGGATCACAACAATTTCGTAAAATAAATATTCATAGAGTTTCATAATTATCTACTTAGTCACATAAACATTAACACTTATCCCCTGACATGGCACCCCTCTGATATGCCACTACACTGTAAAGTGCTTTCACTGATGAGCACTGTACAGTGTAGCGGCATATCAGAGGTTCAACACCATGTTAATTTTGTACCATTTAAGGTTCTAAAAATTAACTAAATGTTAAGTCCTTTTTGTATATTTTTAAATGGTCTCTTTGAGGCTTATGACATTGATAAATAAGATTAAAAGTCTGACGTACAACAATGTATAACCAGAAGTGAGAAGCGAAGTGAGAATGCCTACTGCAATGTAACCTTATAAAAGGCTTATAAAATTGACCTTACTAGATTAGATTTCAAAGTAAATTTTACATTACATATCTTGTAATTTAGCAGTTTCCTTGTAGTATTAGCATTACCATATGGCTATGAATAAAAATTATGACTGTAATAAAATAGACTATTTAAATAATTAGCATTTTGGGGTGAGCAAATTTACCTCTAAGTCTGGTTCAAAAACAAGTTCCATAAGTGGTGCTCCTGCTCTGTTAAGGTCCACCAAACTGCGCTTAAGTTCGGCATCATGTAGAGACTTGCCACTGTCCTGCTCTAACTGTATCTGCTTTATCTTCGATCTTTTTCTGTAAGGCTTTTTGTGTACACCTGGCGTAAACACCTGGAAAAAATTAATGAGTATTATATGTAAGCAACTGGGTAATTAAGAGGCTTTTTACATCTGTAAGGTATTACAATGACAGCACGAGTTAGAGGTTATGTTAAAACTAAGAAGTACCTGAAAATCTATACTTCCATCACTGGCTAATGGGGCTTTTTGCTGTGTTATTTGGTAACCAGCCGGCAAATCGGCGTAAAAATAATGTTTCCTATCGAAAGTCGACACTTCATTCACTTTACACGATAGTGCTAATGCAGTCATTATACCTAATTCTACACATTTTCTGTTAAGTACAGGTAATGTTCCTGGTATAGCTGCATCAAATAGCGACACACAATTATTCACTACACCACCGAAAACATTTTGAGCTCCAGAAAAGAGTTTTGTTTCTGTATTTAACTGTGCGTGCACTTCTAATCCGACTACACTTTGCCACTTTTTGTTGGATACCGTTGAAAATCGACAGGAAGATGCTAACCTAGACTTATAGTTAAATTGATGATATAACTTTATAAGTTTCATTTTAATATTTTTCACACCACAAGCTGGATAAACAGCACAGCTGTTTTTGACATTCCTCTTTGACAAAGACAGTTCAAAATCACAATTCACAGGCAGACTTGGACCTCAAAGATTTAGTAGGTTTTCTTTTTTAATATATATTAATCATCTATTTAAAAAGGCTTAATTAAACGTTATAACATTTATTCATAAATTAATAAGTAAAGAGAAATTACGACAATAGCATAATTTTACTTCACAATTTATCTTTTTAAATAGGTAGTTAAAAAGTAAAATTATAGATGGCGATAAAGCGCGAAACGAGTTATTCACAATTTTTGAATCATCTACTTTATATATTATATATTGCAAGTGCGAATGATGTACTATTAAAATAAATAAAAGCAAGCACTTACCTAAGTATTAAATTGCTGATGTAGTTAATTCTAACTGACTTTAAAATAAGGATTTTTTATTTTTGCTTCCAAATAAATACTACCTAAACTCTTCATAATTATAAATTGCATTGATATTTCGACTAATTAAACTTACAACCTAAAAAATATTGAATAAATTATCACATTTTAGAGAGTAAGGGATTTGTTATTAAACAACTAATCCTGCCACAACTTCAAACAGGAACGAAAATACGTAAAGGACGACGAAAGCCAAGGTTACTTCAGCGATTGAGTACATTTTGATTGATCTTTGTTTAAAGATTGCAAGAAATGATTTATCGCGGGAAAAATGGTAAGCGTACGATCGATTGCACCTCGTCGCGGGATATGACTCTTTGGATATGACCGAGCGCGACTCAAAACAAAGCAGCGCTACACCCACAACCTTGGCTGTATAATACAAACGAGTTGTGACGAAACCGCATTTATCAATAGTGTCAGTCTCAAACATCTAGTGCTTAATTTTGTCGTGTTATAGCTGCTACCAGCTATACACACCCTCGTATTGATAAGCAATGTGTAATAATAATGTAAAGACGTCAACAATCTACGTCACAAACTGCGGAGATGAGTGGGTACCTACAAATATGGACTTTGAACCATGCTTTTAAAACGGATGTGGGGAATAAACTTTACGTCAGTTGAGCCAATTTGAATAAATAGGTATCTAATTTTTATACCTCCGATACCTAATGCATACTAAATGCGTAATAAGTAGGTACCTACAGTTTATTTTACCTACTTTATAAATTATACCTATTCTTAATCATTATTTTTATAAAATGTAATAATGGCGAGAAGTAGGTATAGTGTGTAGTTAGTGTTGCAGATTAATTAATTAGATTACTAACTACCTACTTAATGCATTTGATGTTGAAAAACACTATTTGGTGAATTGTCACTGATACTGAAGACTGCAAATGGTCAACAAAACTACTCCATTATAAATATTTCACGGTAAATGAATCAATAGCTTTAATATGGTGGCTAATTAAGCTACTGAGTAAAATAAAAGGACGTCCCAGCAGCGGAAAAAACCTTAAGTACCTATGTTGTATGTAACTGAACCTGAACCATTCATTATCATCATCATCATCATCAACAGCCTTTAACGGTCCACTGCTGGACATAGGCCTCTCCTCAGAAACGAGGTTTTGGCCTACTATACTAAGCTGGCCCAACGGGCTGGTATAGGGTTTGTGTCAAGTTTTCCTTCTCTTTGCAGTGTTGTTATCCTGCGAAGTTTGCTCACTTAGTCGGCTCTTACGACACCCACGGGATGAATAGAGGTGGGGACAATCCGTATTCTTAACCCGTCACCACACGGACATCCTTGCATTACATATGTAATTCTGATCCCAAACTAGGCAGAGCCTGTACTATGGTAACCAGACTGCTGATAAACATACTTATATATTTTTAACATTTTTAACATTTTAATATTTTTAACATACATATTATAGATAAATAACACCCAGACACAGAACAAATGACCGTGCTCATCACACATATTATATCATATTTGTCCTGGGTAGGAATCGAACCCACGACCTCCGGATTAGCAGTCAGGGTCACTAACCACTAGACCAACAGGCCCGTCAAGATTTGTAAGGTGAAGTCATAAAAACATATTATTTTTGTAAGCTTACATTAAACGCTGGTTAAACCTTACGGAAAGGAACAAAATATTATTATCTTGAGAAATAAACTCCTTATTAAAGTAATAAGAAAAAAACTTACTTTAGTTAAAGTTTTCAGATTCCGTTCAGTATTTTATTGAATGACAATAACATGTAATAAATTTATAGGGGTTAAAGTATGAAATTGCCTTTGTATAGTAATAGATATTTTGAATTGACATAAAACCTTCATGGTGTGCGATTTTCGTGTGAAACTTATTTTACATGACACCTATGAGGTTCTTCTTTTAAAACTTCGTGTAACATACTGTTTTCCACTAGCAACTGCTTTTTATTCGGCTTAGACATGAAAGATGGATACCTACTTTGAAAATCCGTGTCATTTTTGAATACGAGTACCGACGCAGACCTAACGCGGCAGAAACGGCTTGCAATATCAACGCTACGTATGGAGAGGAGACGGCTAATGAATGCTCCGTGCGTTTTTGGTTTAAACGCTTTAGTAATGGAAACTTTTGTAATGCAACGAACCACGTGGAAGACCGACCACACAGGTGAATAACGCTGAATTGAAGGAAATGGTGGAAGCTGATCAGAGTCAAACTACCCAGGAATTAGCGTCATGGTTTAACGTGGCCTACAATATTGACTCATTTGCATCAAATCAATAAGATAAAAAATATAAAAAAATGGGTGCCTTATGATTCGATGCGTGTTGACACTTGTTGCCTTGTTAAATCGGTACAGAAATGAAGGAATATTGATTGAATTTGACATGTGACGAAAGATGGATTGTTTACGATAACCGTACGCAAAAATGCAATGGCTGACCCCAGGTCAAACGCCGCAACAGTGCCCGAAAGCTAAGCTTACCAATAAAAAGGTAATGGTAAGTTTTTGGTGGTCTCTTCATAGTGTTATTCACTATAGGTTTCTGGTCGGGCAATAACAGCAGTTTACTGTGTCGAACTTAGAATAATGATGGCGAAACTGGCAGTGAAACAGCCCCGACTCGTGAATCGATCTTGAACATTATTTCTTTATGATAACGCAAGCCCTCATAGAGAAACCGTTGGAACTCTACAGGAGCTGCAGTTAGAAACCATACGTCATCCTCCGTACTCACTAAGACCTTGCTCCAACGGACAACCATTTTAGTCGTGATTTGGACAATTTTCTACATAAAAAAAATCTTCCCAGGAGGCAATACAAAATGCTTTCACACAGTTTGTCGAATCTACTTGTAGATCCCCAGAGGTCCATCGTAAAGGCATAAATGAACTTCCGTTTAGATGGCAGCAATGTGTAGATAATGAGGGTAAATATTTTGATTAAATAAATATGTTATATCAAATAAATATGTGCAAGTCGAAAATTTCATACTTTAATCCCTAATATTATTATAGACGAGCAGCAAACCTACCAGCTACCAGCCATTGTGAGTGAGAGGAATTTATTATATTTCTAATCTCCATTATCTTCGCAGGAACTAGGCAAAACTTAAACTAAAACAAAGACGTACCTACACTTTGAACTCATTTGTATTTATTAGCAATTGTTTATAGTATTATTTATGTCACTTCATTGTAATTATATGCCCACCAAGTTGAACTACAGTTCACACTCATCCATATGTAAATACATATTTAAATAGGTACCCGCTTAACACAATTTCCTAATAGAATAAGAATTAACTTTATGAGAAGGCTAAATGTATTTTTATACTTGATTAGAAATACTACATACCTTCTTTTTTTTTCTGTGCGGAAATCCCCTCGGATACCACCCACCGGTGGTTATGTCGGACGGTAGTTTTATACTTGATTGCAAATACTACATACCTACTTAAAATTATTGCATTAAATAAATAGTAACAGAAATTAACCTACAAAGCAGGAAAACATTCAAGGATCATGGACGTATAAAAAAGTCGGACGGAACTCTCGCTAACACAAAACTGAGGCATCGTAATGGCGGCATCTCTGTGTGTGTGTGTGTGTGTGTGTGTGTGTGTGTGTGTGTCTAAACTTTGGGGCTGCCAAGTTACCCAAATGTTTACCCTAAAAACACAGTCAATAAATAAAAATATTTTTTTGTTTGAAGGTTTACTGTTAAAAGTCCTAAATGCTGAATCTGAGGTTCTTGCAACTTCCTCTAATTTTGTAATGTGTGAAACCGAATCGTTAAATATTTTTCTGCTATATATTTAATAAGACTTATTTTGTGTTACGTAAAGTATGTTCAGATTCTAAGTTAAATAAAAACTATATTTTAATTTTGCTTTTTTACTCATTAATGATGATTATTTTCTAATGAAGAATAAAAAAGCAACAAGTAAGTAATTAGCTTTAGCACGTAGCTCTTAGTATGTAGCAAAAGACACCACCGTAGTTTTAGGTATGGAAAATGAGGGTAATCGCCCAAAGAACAATGGCAAAAACATATTTACCTAAAACTCAAGCGTTTAAAAAATTGACTCACAGTAAACTTAATAAATATTTTTTCTATGATTTATCATTACACCACCATGTGTTGTATAAGTCTTATAAGAGATCGGATATTTTTGAAGATTTTATTTGACTAAGTACGTAATGTCAGATTCGCCATCACGTATAACCGACTAGGGATGCGTGGTGGCAATATTATATTATGAAACGTTTTATCGATAATCGATTTTTATAGCTTTGGCTGAAATATCTACCGAAGGTTCACCTTTTATTATGAATTTGCTTCTGACCACATGTTCACTCGCACGGTAGAGTGACTAAATCAACATAATTAGAAATAATTTAGAATATTTAGGAGGACCGATCTTGATAACACACTTATCAAGGAAGTTTCAATTTAATTTGACGTTTTAAGGTGAGTGAAAATCACGTTCAAAGGTTCCGTTACATATATACATACATACCAAGCTAATAAA